CTGACTCATTGTTAGCTGCAATGTTTACTCAACTTTTACTGCTCTCAAACCACACAGTGTGCGACATCAGATAATATGCTTGGTGAGAGGAGGTGTTGTAATATTTATGGCAAGATTCAGTAAGAGCTGGTCAGATGACTCTTCTGAGCTTGCAATTTGGAATAAGGGTCACCGAAGTCTCCTTTTGAGAGTTGTATGCTGTTAAGAAAATGGGCAGTTCCTGCTGCCCTTTGGATTGAGCAAGTATTAGCATAGATATAGTGCTTAGGCCAAGTCACGTGAACAAGTATTCCAAAAGCAACAGCCATGAGAGCCCTTGCTTCACAGCTAACAGGAAATTTACTCAATCAGGAGAGAGCAGACCAAGGAAATAAGGAACAGCTTTCAATGCAATAAAAAATAAGATTCTGCCATGCTGCTGTAACCCATATCCTCAGATGGTAGAAATAATATCTGATCATTAATCAAGCAGTAATATATAATGGATGTGTTTAAGGATGTAGCCTGGTGGTACAGTGTTTAGAACGCAATATTGCAGGCTAACTCTGCCCAGAGCCTGGAGTTCAATCCTGATTAACTCAAGGTTGACTCAGCCTTCCAGCTTGCTGGGGCAATGTGCTGACATTTGTAAATCACTCAGAGAGTGCTGTAAAGCACTATGGAGCAGTATATAAGTGCTATTACTATTTAACCATATCGGAAGCTGATCCTGCAAACAAAATACAGATAGCCATAAAGTGCCTGAAAAGGAGACGTACCTATGGAGGAATGAATTGAGTTATAGACAAAGTCTGCAGAAGGCAACAGTTCGTTCCAAATGTTCTGGGGTTAAGAGACATAGATGGTTGTTTCATGTTCTGCAGTTACCCAATGCTGCCTAGCTAATGACAGTGACAAATTGATCCAACAGAACCGGAGGTGGTCCTCGCAAAACCTGGATGTAAGTTGAGAGCCATCATCCAAGTCCCTGTACTCAAAACATACTAGAGAAAGAGTTGTATAGTTTTCTGAGTAAAAGGGAAGCCTTTGCCAAAAATGAAACGAGCATTTTAGTAAACAAATCCGCTACAGCCGAAATGGTTTATACACTTTTTATATGTAGAAGATTGGTAGTAAAAATCCATGGATATTGTGTCTCAGGGCCCAAGAGGGGGAGGGGAGGGTCCTAAATTAAACTGTTTGATTTCATCAGGCCCCCTTGGCCCATCGACAGACATGGCAGCGTGAAACATGGACCTTGACTTCTGCTCTAACCCTTGACCTCCAGACTCTGTCAACACCCATGGCAGTTTCAAACACTTCCTCTTGTCCAGCATTTCTATTGTCATAGCAAAGTTGCAATATTTCTTCCCTTATACAAAGGAGAACATATAAAATGCCATTATGAAACAATTGTCTGTCAGTTATAGAAAAAGGGAACAAATCATTCTGTAAGTTGCCCTGGAGATGGTACCTCTAAGTCCTGACGTGTAGATCCTATTGTTGCAATCTAACCCAGGGGTCTCCAACCGTGGTCACTTTAAGACTTGTGGACTTCAACTCTCAGAGTTTGCTGGCTGAGGAACTCTGGGAGTTGAAGTCCACAAGTCTTAAAGTGACTACGGTTGGAGACCCCTGATCTAACTCCATCCTGCCTTCCTGGCCCCAACTTTTCTGGAAGGTGTATAGTTAGAAGAGAGACAAAGTTGTTCAGGTTCGAGATTATGAAAAAGATGGATTTTATTCAAGTTTACATGATAGTGCATCTGGTACTGGTAGCTTCCTCTGTGACCCTGGAATATAGGTGATACGAACAACCAAAATGGAAGAAAAATTGCATTGATCTGATCTGACAGGGTGTGAGCACTTGTGCTTTTGGGAAGTACCCTAAATTTTTGAGATCTGTGTGCACTTGAGTACTTACATTGGGTAGATGCTCCTTCCAACAAACATCTCCATTCATGGAATGCTGCTTTTATCTCAAGCAGTTCTCTTAAAAATGCCACAGTTACTTTTACCTGGAATCGTGTACAAAAGCTGGAATAAAATACACAAGGCAAGATATTCTGTCTTCCCTTTGCTGAAGCTTGAAGGAGATTAACCCTAAAATAGCCTGAGGCATCTGTTTCCACATCAAAGGGACAAGAGGGATCCAAATGTCTGAGCAGTGGCTTGGGGAGAGAAGATTTATTTTAAAAATCCTGATAAGTTGCTTGCTGTTCAGTAGATAATTTAAATTTATGTCCTTTCTTTAGAAGTTGAGAGTGTGGTCTTGTGTATTCAGCAAAATTGGGGCTAATTCTATAGATATCGCAAAGACCAGAAAGATTTGGACATCCTTCACATTTCTAGATGGACCTGGAAAAGATGGACCTTATTTCTGTAGAATCCATTTGTATTCCATCTGTACATATTCAGTAACCCAAATAATCCAATTCGGGAAAATCAACCAATCATGTTTCCAACTTAATAAAACGTTTGGGAAGATATTTGTGACATGAGTCTCGTGCAAAGATGGGACTTTCGTAGAAAAAAAATCAGTTTGTACTGATCATCAGTACACTTCTACTTATTTGTCCAAAGTACCAGAAAAGATTTAATTCATGAACCTGGAGAAGACTCCAGGGCAATTAGTCAATCCAAACTCTATTCCTGTCGATTTGAATTTGCCATATTGGGTGTCAACGTCTGTTAAATATTCATAACACAGATGGGTTTCAGCAGGTTCTGACCAGTTCTAGAGAACCGGTAGCAGAAATTTTGAGTAGTTTGGAGAACCGGTAGTAAAAAATTCTGACTGGCCCCACCCCCATCTATTCTCTGCCTCCCAAATCCCAGCTGATCGGGAGCAAATGGGGATTTTGCAGTAACCTTCCCCTGGAATGGGATGGGAATGGCGATTTTACAGTATCCTTCCCCTAGAGTGGGGTGGGAATGGAGATTTTACAGTATCCTTCCCCTGCCACGCCCAAGCCATGCCCACCAAGCCATGCCATGCCCACCAAGCCACACCCACAGAACCGGTAGAAAATTTTTTTGAAACCCACCACTGATTCATAACCCCCTTTCATTTTGATCAAATAATATGTACTTCTAAAGGTTAGTTAACTAAGTATCTATTGAAGGTGGACCATTTCTTTACAATACATTAAGCTGAAGATTTACTATAATTTCATCTCCTCTCAAAAATGCTAGCTATTGGATTTCCCCCCCCCCCCCCCCGTTAAGCAGGAAGTCTCTACATCCTCCTCCTGTAGCCTGAATTGGTACATTCCAGGAAACAGTCGTTTTTGTAAATTAAATCAGCCAAGTGATGGTGGTTAGAGACCTGTAATCAGTCAGATATCTGAGGAAATAAGGGAGCCAACAGCTCTCATCTCACCATTCACTTGGAATGTGGTATAAATTGACCAAATATAATGAATTAACTAAACTTTACACTTTGGCTGTAGATTTTCATAAGCTCACCCTTGAGAAATGGCTGCTATAATTGATTTGGGTACAGAGGTCACCAACAACAGATCATTACAGGTGACAATTTATAAAGAAATAACTTACTGAACTGAACATGCAAGACCATTTAAGGAGAGTCCTAATATTAGACAGAATGAAACAATTTCCTCATTGATTTTGGGTGCTTTCATGCTTCCCATTTCAGTAATGTTCAGGGCAGACATGCGACATGTATTGTGGGAAGTAGAAAGTAATGGGGAATCTCATTGAGAAGACAAAGTATTCTCAATTAAAGTTGGATATAACCCTATATTTTATTCCCCAAGATTGGTCCTTATGATTGGGGTGGGGGGGCAGGGATTTCATAATACTCTAAGAGAAATTTTGAATATCCTTAAATATAATCCGATTTGAGGATTTCAGTAGTATCATCTTGCTGCATGCTATATGCTAAGTTACTATATGTTTGCTTTCTGCAGAAATTTGTGAACCCTGTTCTACATTATTTCTTGTATTTTACCCAGCTTCAAACTTCCACTCATCTTTTCAATATTTTGATGAATTCATTGTGATTACTTTACAGTTCAAATTGATTTATGAATAAAGTTGACATCTGGTTTAATTAAAGTTGGATTGATGTGCAGTAATTAAAGTGTGGATTGGAGAGGTATAAAGCAGAATCTGGTAACACCAGGATACTTGGATTATTACATGCTTTGAAAATGGATATAGATCAGAGGTCTCCAACCTTGGCAACTTTAAGACTTCTGGACTTCAACTCCCAGAATTCCTCAGCCCAGCTTTGCTCAGCCAGGTTGGAGACCCTGATATAGATAGATTAAATTTCCTGCCTTGACCATGAGTCTCCTAGCTCCATGTTACTATTGAGGCAAAGACATCACATGTTCACAATATATCAAACATTCTGTGGGTTCTCTTAATTCAGTTTTAGTATATGAATTAAGTTACAAATAGCTTCAGTGTATTGTCCTTCATATATGTGGACAAATAATTTAACCGCTACATTTTTAAATTTCAATGTTTTAGAAAAACGAGCAGCTAAGAGTCAGAAATGCCATCAGTTTGTAAAGGGAATCGAAGTAAAATTGTCTTTGAATAAAAGACAGAATCAGTTGCACTTTGTTCTGCAAAATCCAGGAGAAAAGAATAAAAGTCATAAAAAAGAAGAAACCCCTAAAAACTAAATTAGCCAAAATATACAAAACCTCAGTATTTTACAAATTTGCAGATAATATTTCCCTCATTCTAATGCAGAGGTAGCAGGTGGATTGATTCTCCCATTCCTTCACATGGACACATATCTTTAACATGACAGTGCACTGTGGTGTTCCCCTTTTTACCTGATTGTCAGTATCTGGTGGATAATGATAAAGATAGATGATGGAATCCATCCATCCATCCTTCCTTCCTTCCTTCCTTCCTTCCTTCCTTCCTTCCTTCCTTCCTTCCTTCCTTCCTCCCTCCCTCCCTCCCTCCCTCCCTCCCTCCTTTTCTTTCTTTCCTGTCAATGTGTATAATTACATATATTTGTAAATGGAAGTCCAAAATGTTTCAAACAGATGTGTACTCACTCAGATTTGAGGAAACCTGAACCTATAACTTCTAAGCAAAGTAGTAGCACATGTAACCGTTCCCTAATACAGTTCAAACCAGTCAGCCCTATTCCCTTTTTGCTTCCTTGATTGCAGAAAGTAGTTCAACTGAGTTATTTTGTGGGAAAACAGTGCTGCAAAAAGATAGTTTTGGCTCAGAGTTGATTTTGTCTTTCTAGAAATTCCCCACAGTTACTACAAAGTTACTTCAGTAGCCATTCAGAGCTAACAAGCTCTACCCATTCCTCTTTTGTGCATCATTCATTTACTTGTTCCCACTGAGCTCCTCACTTTCATTTTTCTCCTCTTTACTCTGATGCATTGTATAAGTCTGCCTGTTGGATGGTCCAATTGAACAAATGTCTAGGCAATCCCGTATTCCAATCCTTCTTTGTTGCTGAATAGAGTCCAGTCAACATGGAGCTAAGACTCTAATTCTGGATCTGTATAAGAAAAGTTTCTAAATTCCTCTTGGTTGATCATGGATAGTATTCCTTCTTCAATGGGAGTCAAGATTGGCTCTTCCTTTAAAAATTCAGGATCAAAGTTACTCACATCTTCCTTTGATTTCTGGCAAATGAAAATAAAATAAATATTAGATGACACTATTACTTGAAGGATACTGTGTTGGCAGAAGCTAGAAGGACACACAGTTTGAACTATAGATAATAGCTTCTTATCTCCCCACTGGAGTTGGGAAATATGACCCAACACACAAATGTGAAGAGTTCTTATTGCTGACAGTATATTCTATGGAATATGTTCTGAATTGATGAAGTGCTTAAAATATTGGTCTAGGACCAGGGAAATCCAGATGCCTCACCTATAAATTTTGCTGGGACTTTGGGCTAATAGGCTCTCTCATAGCACAATCTACCTCACAATCTTGCTGTTGCCATAAAAGAAAATTGGAGAAGGAACTGCTCTATAGGCTGCCTTGAAATTCCGGCAGAAAGGCAAGATATAAATTTAACTCTGAAGAACTGACCTGTCCCTTGACAACTAACAAATAAATAAAACAAATGTTTCCTCATTTGGTTAAATTCTGGTGGTCAGGCAAACCAATGCAAACCTGGTATTTCTCAGATTGGAAGTAGCCAATAAGAGTTCTGAATGTGGGCAGCATCTCAGCAAAAGCACATAAGCACAATTTGGGCAATGTCCATATTCATTAAAAACAGAAAGAAAGAAAGAAAGAAAGAAAGAAAGAAAGAAAGAAAGAAAGAAAGAAAGAAAGAAAGAAAGGAGGGAGGGAGGGAAGGAAGGAAGGAAGGAAGGAAAGAAAGAAAGAGAAAGAAAGAAAAAAAAGAAATGTCAAGGAAGTCACCTTAGATCAAGTATGTACTAGTCCATTTCTCTACTATATTAGCTGGACCCAGATTGAACCATTATATATTTTGCATGTAATGCATGTATTCCTTTACTGGATGTGATCTGTCTTTGCATGGATCAATACACACACACCTCACAGCTTTAAACACTTACGATTCGAGGTCGGAAAGGTGGCTCAATCTGGCGTTGGTTTAGCAGATCCCAATCCAGTTCCTTAAAGTATGGATGCAGGAGAATTGCCTTCTCTCCCCCCAAGGCACTACTGCCGAGTCGCATTTTAGGGTTCTTTGTCATGAACTATTAAAAAAGAAGGGGGAAAGGGGAAGAGATTAACTCTCAGCCATGCAATGTCAGTTTAATGACTGTCCTCACAGTCACTCATGCCCTTGCCACTTCACGGTTAGACTATTGCAACATGCTCTACATGGGGCTACCCTTGAAGAGTGTTCGGAGACTACACTTGGTCCAGAATGCAGCTGTGCGAGCTGTTGTGGGTGCACCTAGATACATCCACATTACACCAATTCTCCGGGAGCTGCACTGGCTCCCTATTGGTCTCCGGGAACAATTCAAGATGTTGGTTATTACCTTTAAAGCCCTACATGGCTCAGGGCTAGGCTATCTTCGAGACCGCCTTCTACTGCATACCTCCCAGCGACCGGTAAGATCCCACAGAGTTGGTCTCCTCCTGGTCCCGTCAGCTAAACAATGCCGGCTGGCAGGCCTGCGGGGGAGGGCCTTCTCTGTGGCTGCCCCAGCTCTCTGGAACCAGTTACCTCCTGAGATCCGGACTACCCCCACCCTATTGGCCTTCCGGAAAGCGGTGAAGACCTGGCTTTTCCGGCAGGCCTGGGGCCGTTGATCTCGCTGTTGCAATCTTGCGAGATCCGGCCATGAATGGTGTGCATGGGCTTTTGATGTTTTAAAATGTTTTTACAATGTTTTTTAACAACTTTTCTATGTTCGCATTATTTTTGCTGTAAGCTACCCAGAGTCCCTCGGGAGTTGGGCGGCATAGAAATGCAATAAATTAAATTAAATTAAATTAAATTAAATTAATATTCACCCAATATCTGAATGCAAGTGGTCCTCGATTTACAATCACAGTTGAGCCCAACATTTATGTTGTTAAGTGAAACTTTTGTTAAGGGAGTTTTCCCCCATTTTACGATCTTTCCTGCCACTGTTGTTGAGTGAATCACTGCAGCTGATAAATTGTTAATCCGGTTGCTGAGAGCAAATCAGCTGATAGTTGGGAGGCCGATCTAATCAACTTGTGCTAATGAGGCTGTGCTGAAGCTGAAAGGAGCTGTTTTTTCTTGCTGTTTGCTTGCAAGGAGGTAACTGCTGCAAGGCAGAGGCCAAAGGATTTTATTTTATTTTATTTATTTTATATTGGATTTCTATACCGCCCTTCTCCCTGAGGACTCAGGGCGGTGTACAGCCAGATTAAAAAAACATGCAGAACAAATATTAAAAACAATTAAAAGATATATAAATTTGGCCCAATTAAAACTCATTTACCAATTAAAAACGTTTAAAACATTTAAAAACAGTTAAAAATTTCATCTTAAGCCAGCCCGGCTTGTTTAAATAAATGGGTTTTAAGGGCGCGACGGAAGGCACTGAGGTCTTGGATTCTCCTTATCTCTGGGGGGAGCTGATTCCAGAGGGTAGGTGCCCCCACAGAGAAGGCCCTCCCCCTGGGGGTCACCAGCCTGCATTGTTTGGCTGATGGCACCCCGAGGAGGCCCTCTCTGTGGGAGCGCACGGGTCGCTGGGAGGTCGTCGGTAGCAGCAGGCGGTCTCGCAGATAGCTAGGCCCTATGCCATGGAGCGCTTTAAAGGTGATAACCAACACCTTGAAGCGCACCCGGAAGACAACTGGGAGCCAGTGCAGCTCGCGCAGGAGCGGTGTTACATGGGAGCGCCATGCTGCTCCCGTCACTACCCGCGCTGCTGCGTTCTGGACCAGCTGGAGCCTCCGGGTGCTCCTCAAGGGGAGCCCCATGTAGAGAGCGTTGCAGTAGTCAAGGCGAGAGGTGACGAGGGCATGAGTGACTGTGCACAGGGAATCCCGATCAAGAAAGGGCCGCAACTGGCGAATCAGGCGAACCTGACAAAAGGTCCCCCTGGTTACAGCCGTCAGATGTTCCTCCAAGGACAGCTGCATATCCAGGAGGACTCCCAGATTGCGAGCCTTCTCTGTGGGGGCCAATGACTCGCCCCCAATAGTCAGTGATGGAGTCAACTGACTATATCGGGATGCCGGGAGCCACAGCCACTCAGTCTTGGAAGGGTTGAGCTTGAGCCTGTTCCTCCCCATCCAGATCCGTACAGCCTCCAGGCACTGGGACATCACTTCAAGGGCATCGTTGGGGTGGCCTGGGGTGGAGATGTACAGCTGGGTGTCATCAGCGTACTGGTGGTATCTCACCCCAAAGCCACGGATGATCTCACCCAGCGGCTTCACATAAATGTTGAACAGAAGGGGCGAGAGGACCGATCCCTGCGGCACTCCACAAATGAGAGGCCTCGAGGTCGACCTCTGCCCCCCTGCCAACACAAACTGCGACCGGTCGGAGAGAAAGGAGGAGAACCACCGCAACACGGTGCCTCCCACCCCCAACTCTTCCAGCCGGTGCAGCATGATACCATGGTCGATGGTATCAAAAGCCGCTGAGAGGTCTAACAGGACCAGAACAGAGGAACAACCCCTGTCCCGAGCCCTCCAGAGATCATCAACCAACGCGACCAATGCCGTTTCTGTGCTGTGCCCAGACCTGAAACCCGACTGGAACGGATCTAGATAAGATGTTTCCTCCAGGAATTGCGGAAACTGTCGTGCGACCACACTCTCAACAACCTTCGCCATAAAGCGAAGGTTGGAGACAGGACGATAGTTGGCCAATATTGCCGGATCCAGGGACGGCTTCTTGAGGAGAGGCCTCACCACCGCCTCTTTCAAGGCGGTGGGGAAGTAACCCTCACTCAACGAAGCGTTGATAACACCCTGGAGCCAGCCTCGTGTAACCTCCCGGGAAGCCAGTACCAACCAGGAGGGACACGGGTCCAGTAAACATGTGGCCGCACTAAGTCTCCCCAAAATCCTGTCCACATCATCAGGAGTCACAGCATCAAACTCCTCCCAGATAACATTCTCAAGACTATTCCTCGTCACCCTGCCCTGATCTACCCAGTCAGAGTCCAAATCCCCCCGGATCTGGGCGATTTTGTCATACAGGTATTGTCCGAAATCCTCCGCCCTGCCTTCTAAGGGATCCTCCCGCACTCCTGGATGGAGCAGGGCGCGGGTCACCCTAAACAGGGCAGCCGGACGATTCCCTGATGACGCAATAGAGGCGGAAAAGTAGTTAGACTTTGCCGTCTCTATCGCCACTAGGTAGGCCTTAATATGCGACCTTACCAGTGTTCGATCAGATTCAGCGAGACTGGCCCTCCAACCGCTCTCCAGGCGTCTTTTCCGGCGCTTCATTTCCCTCAGCTCCTCAGTAAACCAAGGAGCCGCACGGGATCGGCATCGGGTCAGAGGCCGCAAAGGCACAACTCGGTCCAAGGCCCCACCAGCCGCCCGATCCCAGGCGGCTACCAGGTCCTCGGCCGAGTCATGTGCTAGATCCTCAGGAAATGGCCCAAGCTCCGTCTGGAACCTATCAGGATCCATCAGGCGCCTGGGGCGGATCCATCTAATTGGATCCACCTCCCTGCGGCGAGGGGTCGCGGTTCGAAGATCTAGGCGAAGGAGTGAGTGGTCAGACCATGACAAGGGTTCCATGTCTATATCCCCTATAACAAGACCACTCAACCACTGGCCAGAGACAAAAATCAGATCCAGAGTGTGACCTCCCCTGTGAGTAGGGCCATGAACTAACTGGGTCAGGTCCATGGCCGTCATGGAAGCCATGAACTCCCGAGCCACCTCAGACGTTTCACCGACGGATGGCAAGTTGAAATCACCCATGACTAAAAGCCTGGGTGTATCTACTGCCACCGTGGCTATCACGTCGAGTAGCTCAGGTAGGGCTGTTGCCACGCGGCAGGGAGCCAGGTACGTAAGCAACAAGCCCATCTGAACCCCACGGCCCCACCTCACAAGGAGGGACTCACATCCGGCTATCTGAGGCACAGTGGTCTCCCTCGGACCCAGATCCTCGTTAATAATAACCGCCACCCCCCCGCCCCTCCCCTGAGCCCTCGGCTGATGGAATGCTCTGAAGCCTGGTGGGCACATTTCAACCAGAGGGACGCCACCCTCCGGGCCCAGTGGGCGGGCGGGGCTACATTCAGTGTATAAGTCGCACCTAAATTTTCACTCCCTTTTAGGGGGGAAAAGGTGTGTCTTATACTCCGAAAAATACGGTATCTGCCCATACATAACACACATATACACATGCTATGCACACGCGCGCACACACACACACACAAACATACAGTCCATTTTAAATACATAGTGGAAAGAGGAAACTTGAGAGCTCACAAGGTTGATGCTATGTGGAACAAAACTGACTGAATCTGGATGTTCTGCTTTGGATACCACGAAGCCTCCTCCCAGAAGGTAACAAAGAAAACAGGCCATGAAGAGGATGTGTAGCGTCTCAGACAATACGGCAGACCCTGCTCAAGCATCGCTTATATGCTACGTCCTGGATAGTAGGAAGTGAACTACCAATAATCTTTTCTGCCAACCTTGCTACTCTCTGTACCGCCTTCCTGTCTGAAGCCGTAATGCTTCCAAACCAGACAGTAATGCAATACAACAGGATGCTCTCAATCGTCCCTCTATTGCAGTGGTTCCCAATGTGGGGCCCATGCCCCACAGGAGGGCAATTTGATTTTTAATGGGGACAATTTGAACCTTGTTTAAACCGAGTTAATGGCCTTTTAGGCTTCCTCCATGTGAGTAGGAGTTCACTTTTTGAGTAAAGTAAGAATCATATGTCACAGGGGGGACATCAGGATTTTAGAGATGCTTAGGTGGGGCATGGCTAAAAAAAAGGTTGGGAACCACTCCTCTATAGAAAGTGGTGAGGACAGGGGGAGGAAGATCAAAGCTATTATCAAAGCATATTATGATAATAATTTGTTCTGAAAGCTGATTTAAAGATTCCTGGAAATATATATATATATATATATGTGCATAACACAATTATTAAGGCCCATTAAAGACCCAGGGGTTGCATTTTACAGTGCAGAAATCTTGACTAGTTTTAACCATAGTTTGCTTTGTGTTAGCATGCAGTGCAAACTTAGCTAGATTTGTGTTTAAGTTTCATGAT